TTAGCCCTTGGCAGTATGACGGATGCCTCAATTCAGTCTCAAACTCAGGTGAATCACATCAAGGTGGCTTTCACTAAATCAGCAAAAACAGCGACCTTGTTACAAACATTACAGCTTGTTTCATTGGGCAACTCACAATCCACCGAAGATGGTTTTACTTAAGACCCCTTAAACCAGACCACTCACCAGGTCCTCTTCATTGAGAAGTCGTTGTCTGAGCTCCTGAAGTTGCTGAAATGACTAGTTACACAATAGGATTGCTTTTTCTTGAGCAAACCGCATTGAGTTTTCTGACAGGAGCTTCTGGATATCAGAACTTATTGATGGCTTGCCAGGTCCTTTGTGGATGGATGTTAGTCAAGCGTTTTCCGTACCAACCTAGTCCTACACAGGAAAGTCGCCGGTAAAAGCGACCTGCCCGAGGGACTTGGCCATTGATCTTTTCACTGAGCTTGACACTTGACTGGCAAACGCTCCGTCCTCATTGAGACATCATTATTGCGCTGTTAGTTGTGTATTTCCTCTATCCCCGCTTGCGCTTATATAGTTTACAATGGGTAGCCTTAAGCTACTACTTGACTGACCAATAATATTCGTCTCTCTGGGAGTTCGATTTGTCTGCACGTGACCTAAGTTACGTTGTGGTCTGCATCTCTTGCGCTTTATTGCCCCGTTGTTTCCTGATTGGCCCGCCCGTGATCTGTACTGTGTCGTGGTTCACCTTCTTGTTGTTCGATCGGTCAATAGTGTACTCTCCATTTCAAATGGTAAACCGTCTTCATCCTGAATGGTCTATCCTCAGCTTGCGGTTCATCTTCGTGGGACTGGTTGGCTGGCTGATTTTAATGTGATCCTCTGTGAAGAATCCATCATTTTGTCGCGTTTGGTTTTCGGATTTGGTGGTAGCTGATGAAAGCCGTCAATTCCGGTCAAATTAATTTGTCACCTCAATCTGGACTTCTTTTTGTTCTAGACCCATTGGTTTGTCTCGTTTGATTACTTGTTCGGTTCGAGATTTCCTTTGTCCTCAGGGTTTGGTGGACACGGCAGATCTCACTGGATGTGTTTGATCTCCATGACCATGTCAACTTAGAGTAGCGTTCTTTCTTCGTTCTTGTTTGTCCTAGTATACGGGCTTTGGTGTTCTCGATATTCATGACTAGTGACAGCTGATCGTGCCTTCTTTAGCAGTCTTGTGTCCACTGATCTTGACAGTTTCCTTCCTGTTTGTTCCGCGCAGTGTCTGTCACATATTCCGCATTCCATCATATGAGGTTTTGTCTTCGACAGCGCACTTTGAGGTGTGCTTGTAGATCCGTGGGTCACTCTAGCTCTCTAAAAGGAAGTCTGACAATCAGAATTTTGCAACAATAACCGTACTTCGACCAGACTTACTTGTGGTGATGCTCAGAGAAACGGAAACCACACTCACTAACTGTCATTTTACGTCTTGTCGCACTGGTCGGAAAGTTTATTTTTGCATTGCTGAAATCAGGAGCAACATCTGATCCGCTTCTCCATCTAGGCCCTCTCAAACTGGAAGTAACTGTTTAAAATGCTAACGTCACTTGTGGACATTCGGTTGAGCACTTCTAGCCTCCAGGCCCTGCTTCTCAGTCTGGATTAGAGTTACAGGAATTCGCCCTTCCGCAGTTTGAAACCGCGGCATCCAAACTCGGAGCTGACGAATGACGGTTACAATGAAAGCAGTTTGAGCACAAACCGTTTGATCAACGACTAATTAATGCCTCTATTCACTGATGGAAAAATGGCCCAAGTACAACAGTTTTTCGAGAAGTACACTCATTTGCGAATCAAATTGGTTTTCACGAGAGAATCAACTAATTCTCTCGTTCATGATATTCTACAACTGAATGTCCTGCACATAGGCCGCCTCATGATTCGGTTGGCACGATATTCGAGATATCGCAGTATATTTTCATAAAGGAAACTACTCACAAGGTTGCTGAAAACTCTGCGATAGCCCACGACCGGTTTCGCCTTTCTTGGGGCTCATCAGGTGGGCGCAGTTCTCGAGTTTTCGCCAACCTTATGATCTACTTGAATCCAAATTGCCCTGTTTTCGAGAAACACACTCTGCGCCTACCTGATGAGCCTCAAGAAGAACGAAACCGGTCGTGGGCTGTCGAAGAGTTTTCAGCAACTTTGTGAGTAGTTTCCTTTATGGAAATACATAAGTTTTTGTATTTTGGCTACGTCGGTCATAAGGCAATCAGTTATTTTAGAACCGCAATAAGACCATACATTGTAGACATCAAAGCATATATGTGTTGTAATCACATGCTATGTGTCCATATCTGTTCACGGAACACCAGAATGCCGATAGGATATCTGTACTAACACAATCGGAAGGGGTTCTAGCGCTGATGAAACTATCCAGTAGCATTGGGCTCACAAGAGCGACAACGATTCGACAAAATGAACCGGCCTAGAAGCATATTTAGAGAATGGGGGCTGTGCATATCGATCGCTGGTCATTTGACCTGGAAAGCGTCACGACTAAACTGCCTGACAATATATGCACATTGTCACGAGCAGTAAGCTAGTAGTGCCAACGACAGTATGCTGGGCGCGCGTTCGAATACATTCGTCAATAACTTTGGACAAAACACGTGATTACAGGCACATTTCAAACAAGGTTGCCTTGCGCCTAAAACTGATCAATAACAAACAGATCCACTGAATGATCCAATCAACTGGTAATCAGTTGCTCTAAACGACGAGTCATCAATCTAACAAATAAACACGTTTGATCAAACGCAACCAGTAACTTTGTGCGGACCTTTTGTTTTTCTTCACTACCACATTAACATAGATCAATTGATTTAGAAAAAGTAAGAAATGGTAATGAGAACTTGGCGAGGACCTAGAGAACTCTTTTTGTTTTCTGCGCTGAGCAAATTAAACAACCGGGCAACAAATGTTCTGAATGATTCACGCAACTATCTCGATAACTGGTCAACCGAATTCAAGTAATCCATATAAAGACCGATTTCCACGATGTTAACTGGATGGGTCACACAATGGGTACGATGTTGGTGACTTATCCTGCACAACTAAGTGCGTACTAGTTTCGGACATTAACAGGCAACCTGACAAGTAGTCAGAGAGCTGTGATCGGAGTTCAGTAACATCTACTCATTGGATTTGATCATTTGGAGAGCAATTCAAGATGGACAGAGGTATGGATCGATTGAATAGCACGTGAACACTCACCAGTCATCGTGCTTAAATAACAGCCAGAATCACTTGGTTCAGAGATTAGCGACATTTATTATAACTGAGTCTAAGATGCCAGTAAGAAAGCTGAAAAAAGTTAGAAACAAGATCTTTGGTTGAAAGCATATATATTGGTTGATTTTTTTGAGGAGACCTATCATACAGTCCCAATGAAGATAATGAAGCTATGGCCAACTAAGTCGTTCAGCTGTAGCACCTATGCTTAACTGCCATGCCACCCGAAGGAAGCATGAGGGCTTGGATACTGCCAGGTTGCCCAAGCCTATACAGGGGAAATCCAGGTGCATGGGTCGGGTTCGAACCACGGACCTTCCGGTCAGTAAATTGGCGCTCTCATCACTGAGTGATCTGTCTCCGACCAACGAAATCAATGTTTGTCAGAAAACCCCGTCACTCTCCAGGAAATAGTTCTTTGGACGGATCTTTATGAGGTTATGAAACCACCGTATGATCTATGAGGATCTCGCCTCACTATTCACGTAATTATCGTAGAATGAGGGAAGTGAGGCGTTACGCATATGGGAGTTGAAAGGGAGTGGAGGGGCGGTGACAAAACCCCTCCGCGGGCCGCCGTTCAAGGCCCTTCATTTTCAAGCAACTTCTTACCCTTTTTTCCGTTTTTCTGACGTCCAAGTTAAACTATTCTTAGTCCCATAGTGCGTTTAACGATTTGCGGTACGCAAAAAGGTGCCATAGGGTGGGTTCCTCAGCAACTGCCGTGATGCGTTCGTCAATTATGGTTGGTATGCAGCCCCTAGAAGTCTTCCAAGAGAGTAACCAAATGTGCTTTAGTATCTGCAGACACTTTATGGGCCGGTAATCAAGGCAAAACAGTGCACTAAGACATTCAGTAGATAACGGCAACGGGCATCCGTTACGGTCACTTCAAATGCGTGTAATAACTAATGTGAAGTTGTTGCTTTTAGCATTGCTACACTGGCAACACATACCCATTGCATACCTGTGTTTTCCGGTACCCATCGACCGGTAACTGTTGTTCAAGCAAATATAATCGATGGTCCGAGTTACCTAAGCCTAACTCGTTGGAGAGATTTTTTACTGTTGTCTTCGCTAGCAAAGACATCCAGGATCAAGTGAAACGTGAACAAATTTGTCCGGCCCACTTCCTCACACAGAGGAATACTGTTTAACTGGATTTCAGCGCTATACGAACGCAATCTAGTTAGCATTGGTCACAAAAATATTGATCGGAAATGTTGTCTGCACATTCGTTTACATTGAAACGTGAAGGAATTCTCTGCAACCATTATGAATGGCTTGTGTATCTGAAGTTTACAACTACGACTATCTGAAAGAAACGGGTTGACAAACACGAAATCGATTGACGTTTAGAAACCCACTGGAGTTGATGAAGGTGACTGGAATAATAGGAAATTAAACCAGTTTATCAATCAAAACTTGCGTATTCGTACTTTCATCTAAAGTTTGTTTACCTCTTCTGAGTGACTAAGCTTGGTTACTTTCAATCTCTATTGATTTTGAGAACGTCCATTCATCAGTCATTCACTTTGTCTTTTTTACCGTCTGCTTTAACGTGAGAACTTTTATCTTGGATGAATTCAAACTCAGGTCTACGGAAAAACGTTGTCCAAACTAATGTAATATGGTTACTTCCTGATCTGATATATGTAGTGAGTCATTTTTTCCCGAGTGGTCCAGTTTCCGTTCCTGAACAGGTAGTGTACATTGAACTGTGTCAGTGGATCTCACGCAATGAAATGCACGTAGGCTGGTATGCACATTCAAGTGGTCCAAACGTTCCTGCCGCGTTGCGTTATCTAGCTGTGTATCCAGCTCTACCGCTTCACCAAGTGTGTGCTCTCATGCCTTACCAAGCAGTGTTTTTATTGTTTTAACCTATGGTTCAGTGTACAAAGCAATACAGGTTCCTTGTTTCAGCATTTTCCAAAGTGCCCAACTTTAATTCCACAATAAACGCAAGACAATTAACCAGGCTTCTTCAAAATGACCACAGCGTGCAAATTTCGAATGAAATGAAGTTAAGTGTATAGAAACGCCGGTTAAATTCTCTGTTGAGGTGAGCTATTCGGTTTTGAACACCCCGCATAATTATCGACACGAGCGTTAACTCGTTTGAGGCTTCAATTGTCAGGTTGCCTTTGGTGCACAACACATTTTTAGCGAACTGCCAATGTCTTCCTACTCGTTATTTTCAAACCTCTACTCTAGTATTGTGACGGACTATGATATTGGTAGCCACATTTGGCTCTACAAGCCGTTAAGTTTTGTAACGTCAGCAAAAATGTGCGGTTTGACGATACGACAAAGAAAGTAAGTGGCAACATGGGTTGCACCAATGAGTGCGGTTCAAAAGCTCGTAAAAATGGA